GTTTCAGTGCAGGTTGTATTGCAGTTAGGTAACTTGTGGTATGTGATTTTATTAATGTAATTTAACTGATCCTTTAAATTCAGTTTCGGAAATACAATCCCTGCACAAGTGTTTAAAAGAAAATGCTGTCCCTGATTCTTACTTATTTAATTATGCAAGAATATCCTTCCATGCAAGATCTGCCATAATGTCTAGTCTTACACCTCCTTCAATATTAAAAGGAGAATACATCTTTTAATAATGAATTAATAATAATCTTGTAATAATAAAAGGAGAATTTTTTTTGAACTTCACATATTAAATACTTGAATTTTCTATTAGCAACTGGAGACATGTGGAGACAACTAAAAGCTTGTCTGTTTCTGGGCTTTGTGGGTTTTGTAAAATCCCCAATACTAACCTCTTATTGCATTATCTCAATCACCTTTATCAATTTTTTCTGTTTCACAATTTAGTATTATATTTACCACTATCCCGTTGTATACTTAGGATACTGTGTAGCCATAGGTAAACAAACAGCTAATACAGCTGTATGTGTTTCTACTGCTTCTTAAAAAATAAACAGAAGAAAGGTATGCAACAGCAGGTTAYAGGGAAGCCGATCCTAGAGGGAGCCATGTTTAATCGAAATATAAAATGAAAAGCCAGCTTTTTTTCCTCAAGTTTGTTATTTTATGAGATATAACTACTTTCACCAGTAAATGGCACAGTCTGAAGATGAATTGATAGTATTTCTGCTAAGAAAACTCCCTAATTTATCATATCCAAGAATTCATTGTTTTTGTGGGCTTTTGAGTTTTCTATCTTGAATTAACTCTTGTCAATTAAATGCTTTCCATCTGTTAACCAAGCCACAGACAGGACAAATGTTGCTGTGTCAAACAGAACTATTATATGTTCATCAGATGTTCAGTACAGCACGTAAAAAGCTATTGCAAGAGAATATTAGCATAAAGCCAGTCTTTTCACCTGAACAGTTATCTAGAAATGACATTTTGACAATGTTTTATGGACATAATTAAAATGACTAGCACTTAATATCACCTGTTTTGTTACTCACATTGTAAAATAGATAATGCAAAAAGGTCTCCAATTATATAGCACTAATTTAGTCGAAGGAAATAGATTATAAAACTTTGTTTCTTTATTCCCTTCCCAATGAAAATCAAATACCTTTGAAGGTGATCAATTATCCCAATATTCCATTGGATGCAAAGACAGATGCTGCCCATACACTAGTAAATGCACATTTCTTTTACAACGCTTAGTCCAAACTAGAAAGCTTGCACCACTTCTTTCCTGAGGACCTTACCTTGGAATCATTAACCGAGGTGTTATTTATGTATCCGTTTTAAGATATGTGCTGTGAACTATTGTAATCTGGCTGGTTAATGCATTGTTCAAAAGACTCTTATTAACTAATGAGTAACATTTAAGCTGAATCTACAACTACCTTTACATAAACTCAGATACAAAGCAATTACTTAATTTAGGATTTACAACCCTTTTGAATTTTTAAAAGAGATTTTTATGATGTTAGATATTTTAGCTAGGTTTGGCTTTTGAATGCAGAATTTGGAAAGCAACAATAAATTTTCCATTTCCCAGTCATAGAAGGGCAGAGTACAGATGTATATATAGTTTGTTTAGGGCCAAGTCATTTTTCACCTAAGGCAATAAAACTGCAGACTTCAGCTCTCCTCTTTTGGCAGAGCAAATGATTTGGAAAATTGAATCTCTACTTTTCTAAAAGTGAGAATGTAACTTGTTTTTTTTATAACCTCTATTTGCTTCATTGAATCCATCAGCTCAGTACCATCAGCTCAGTAAGTAGCTTTGCCTTCAAAAGGGACAAGAGGGGTAGAGTAGACCAAACAAAGGACTGTGGAGTGCTTAGGGGATGACACAGCCCTGTCACATGTTCAAGGAGGATCCTCTCTTCTTCATGCGATTCCTCTCCCACACACTTTTCCTAATACATTACTGAAAAACTAACAGAAACTAACAAATGAGAAGGAAAAAAGCTAAGTGAAAATGCACAGTTGTTTTCTGCACCTTATCTATTAGTGAAGAAGCTCCTCTAGTTCTTGTGTGAAGAGTATGGAGGAGAGAAATAAAAGGAGTAAGTTTTATGGTAACATTCTGAGGAAAATAATAAATCCATTGGACATGCATCCCAGTGAAAATGGGGTTTATTTCGTGAGCTGGATGCCACTCATTTCAGAAAATACAACATGGGTCTCTAAGGCACATATTTCTCCACTTTCCAGTGGAGACATGAAAAAAGTGTAACAGGGAAGCATACTAATTATTGACTTATCATTATTCTAAGATATCATAGCCAACTGAAGGAAAGAAACTGTTGTGTGAAACCTGGTGGTAGCAAAAAGAATTTTATGACAAAATCTGTGAAGGGGTTTATTCTACAAGGAGTGCATGTTGCTGTAATTTGTAGGCAGAAGTCATCAGTAGTGACTTGCATAGGTAGTGATTGATTCTGCAGAATTTAAAGCGTCTTCCATTGTGCTACTTTACGTCTTCAGCTCTTTGTCTGCATTCATCTTCATTCCCCACCATTATGCTTGTACCGTATGGTAGCTTTTCTCATGTAGCCACTGTCTCTACAGTAGAAAGAGCCACCGTGTTTTTGTTCTGCTGTCATACACTTAAGAGAACAAGGTGGCTTAGTCTTCTCAGAGAGCCCTATTTCTGTTACAGAAGACAGTCATTAAATTGCCCCTTACCTCTTTTTCAGGGCTAATCAAATCAGGTTCTCTAAGCCTCTCTTCCAATACCCTGCATGTGCTAACCTTGTAACTACCTTAGTGGCCCTTTGATGGGCTCTTTTAAGTTTGTCGGTACAGTTGCTCTGCTGGAGGGCCTGAAACTGCACAGCATTCCACATCCAGCCTCCCAGGTGCCAGAAATATGTGTTTTGTTTAGCAGAGTATGGGACAAATGTTAACAAGGGGCTATGTACTGGGTCTTGCAGCTTATCCTCAGTGATCTTACTCATTCAACCTTAGTGCCAGGAGTCATCTGAAAGGAAGTGTAAGGTTAGTTTTCTTTGATCCATTTTATTATGTATATGGTAAAAGGTAGGAATCTATTTTTTAGTCAGAGTTAACCGTTAGTGAATATGCTTTTATGCTTTAGGACTTGCAGAAAGTATTCTTATTTTCAATTTTGTCTTCAAGAGACCAGACAACAGTTTTTTTTTTTTTTTTGATTCTTTATATGCTCTTTCATAAATCTCTAATCATTTTTTTTTTTCTGTTTTTCTGGAAAGACTTCATTTGTTCCACAACTTTGTTGAACTAAGTGCCCAACTTTAATAAAAGTGCTTCGGTTGAGGCCTTATCAGTGCCAAGTGTAATGGAAAGGCATCTCCTGTCTTTTTCTTCAGACAATATGAAAAGAAAGAGCTATTGATTTTTGTCCCAGAGGCAGTTTGAGTCATGGCTTTGCCAAAGACAGCTTTATTATCCAAAAGTTAGTTCAGCTGAAATACACTTTTTGGCCAATTCTACTAGCATCGAGATCCCAAAAGAAAATAAGAATGCACGGAGCCCTACTCGTGATAATTGYGCTGGTGGCTGTGGCAATCTGATGACTTCTCTAAACATCTATCAATCCACTGTGAAAATTAACTCTTACACTAGACATTGTGACTCATGGCAAAGAGAAGATGCATCATCCTGATCTTCCTTTTCTGCACTGGAATTTTTGGATTGAAGTGAGAAATTGATCTAATGCATTTTTATAGTAGCAGGAAGCACCTATAAGAAAGATATGGGTGAAAAAAACTCAGCTGGACTTTTTTCCCACCATCTAATGTATAAAGGCCTGCTTGTATCTAAGGGAAAAGCAAGTGAAATAATGTGTTATTGTTTGTGAAGTTTCTTATCTGGAAAGAGCTTCAGAACACAGAGATACTGTTCTCATTAGCTCAGTGTGTTCAGAAAGGCTGTCACTGAATAGTAGCAGTGTGGGGAACAAGGTGTCTTAGGCTTATTGAATGTGTGCGTATCATTGTACTCTGGCGAAGTCTGGGAGTCTGCAGTGGGGCCAGTACAGGCGTTGTGTCAAGTTCTCCACTAAATAAAAATATTTTGCATGTATATACTTTTTGCATGCATGTGCTTTTGGGCAGACAGTGATTCTAACAAGTGTATATTGTAATTATTAAGATAAAAATGAAGAATAATATTACATAATAAAGAGAAGATAGGAAGAAATAATATAAGATRGAAGAATATAGGGAGAAATAATATAGCTGTAGGAACAAAGCCAGGGGTGCAGAATCATGTTTTATTGATACAGTAATACTTCATGTATATTTCTGTGATACACCTTTGAACGTACTTATTAAGGAGCAGCAGTAATATCTAAAATAGTAATCCATATAATAATACCATAAATACATTACTGTTAAGTTATATGAAATCTAAAGTGTAGAAAAATAATATCTGGTTTGCAGTCATATAGCATATTACAGTAATAAGGTAATTCCAGTACCAGCACAAATACTACTACTTCTATTCATATAATCATTTTGCTCAAATATGAGAATCTGGTCAAGCAAATGTAGAATTAGTTTAGTTTATTTGTTGGGACATTTGTTTCTCTTTTTGTGATATAAAAATCTTTATGGAACCTTTTATCGCAATGACTTGATAAGGTTTCACTAGTAAGTAACAACTTTTATCCATATAAAATTTCCTTCATTGGTCAAGTATTCACTACATAGGTAAGATTTTGTGCGATTTTATATTTTCTAATGCTTTGTATCTCACTGGATTATTGCTGCTCTTTCTCAAATGTCTTGCAGTACCTTTAATTCTAGAAATCAGTAGGTAGCTTTACATTTTCAAGGACAATGCAGTGTAGTTGTCGTGTTGCAAGATCTGTGTTCAAACTTACAAAGGAAAAGGAAGCGTTTAAAATGTGTCCCATTGTGTAAAGGTGCCATCTAAAAATAAACTTTGTTCTCTTTGCAGAAAGCCACATTCTTGAGGATGTAAACAAGTGCATCATTGCATTGAGAGAACAAAATGCTGATGATTTAGATCGTGCAGCAGGTGCGATCCGAGGGCGCGCTTCAAGAGTAGCTCACATTGTTTCTGGTGAAATGGACAATTATGAGCCAGGAACTTACACTGAGGGAGTCATGAAGAATGTTCAATATCTCACAAAGACCGGTAAGTCGCACTGGTAAACTGTATTTTCAGTTTCTTCATTGGTATATAATCTTTTACATGCCGTATTTAAAATGAACTTATCCTGTGATTTTCTCATCTCATGCACTCATACACTAGTTTTCCTCTAATGATTTAATATATGCGCTTATCTGTCACTCWGTAAACTGCCTGGATTAGGATGATAACATGCATCCAACATTTCTTTATGTATGTAAGCATTTTTAAATTGGGAAAAGCCTTTGATAGAGTTTTTAAATGCAGCTAACAATGTTTGTAAGGCTTGTGATTAATGAGGCAGCAGCTTTAAGCTACACTACTGGTCTCACCACACTTAGTTTAAGCTGATGAAGGGTAGATGTGCTGGCATCTCAAGTCTAGTTTAAAAGTGGGTGCAATATGAGTGAAACCAAAACGTGTTTTGTAGAAAGGAGGAATCGTTCTTGGAGACAAAAAAAGTTGAAAATTTAAATAAAATGAAAAGCAAATTTCATTTGTCTTTGCTTACAGTTTTGAGTAATGGTTAAATAGTCTTAAGTTAACCTCTGACCTTTTAATAATGTGTACTAATCAAATTTATCTGTGGAGTTCCAAGATTCCATGTTTTCAGTTACAAGCCTTTTATGTCTATGCACCTTTAGAATAAGATTCAGATGTCTAAATCCCAGTTCTGGCTGTCCAGGCAAATTTCTAATATGTTAAGTTTGACTGACATTTAACTTATTTTTACCTCAAGAGAAGACCAGAGTTTTGTTTGATCTCTTTAATCAGTTCAAAGAAGTCCAAGGCTGAACTGCCTTCATGTGAAACAAGAATGACTTGACAGGCATGAAGTGGAAGAAGGGACGTATATTGAGAAACATAAGAAAAAAACTTGACTGTTCTTTTAACTTCTTTCTGACATTTTGTTGAGAAAATTTGAAAACTTTTAGCATGACATTCTTTTTTCACAACTTCTGAAAGGAACAGACTATTACAAATAGTAAAGCAAACAACAGTGGGAGATCACAGTCTTGATTTTGTGTTTCTTGAAATTGTGAATGTTTAAACACATGGGAGATTAACAGTGGTTCCTACTCTGCTGCGTTGTAATGACAGAAATAGGAAATACATTTACGTACCTATGGAAGACAGGAAGAAAAACTGCTTTTTGTTGGAATATTTGGTTATGTCAAGGCACATCAAACATGGTGTTGTCTGCTCATTTTTCTTTACAGTAGCTTAAATGTCAGAATCAAGTGTCCTTAAATTATTCAATAAGAGTAGAAAAATAGAAACATCTACATTTCAGCGTTATCCTTATTTTTATAGTATACATCAAATCATAAGAATGCTTTCATTTTTGTAACAATTTTAACTAAAAAGGGAAACTTTTTTTGTTTTCTTATAATTTGTTGTTGAATCAGATTATTTGTTTCCCCTCAAAAAAATCTGTTTAGTGAAGCGTTGCTTGTATATAAGTGAAAGAAATGTCTTGTTCATGCTTTCTGACCTTGTTTACTGGAATGAACGATCTTTTCCATTTTTGAAGTCATTTTTATAGTTGAACCTGTGATTCAGGAAATGCCTAAATATATCTGTTGAAAATCATTCCTTTGTAGCAAAATGAGAATGCGCAATTCAAGCAGTCAGTTGGTGCTTGGTCTGGTGAATAGGGTGTTGTCCAGAATTGGGACCTATCATTAAGTCCAGGAGTGAATCCAGCACAGGGCTACGAGGATGATCAGGGACCTAGAACATCTGCCCTATGAGGAACTTAAGAATTAACACTTCTTGACAGTGAGGGTGACAGAGCCCTGGAACAGGCTACCCAGGGAGGTTGTGGAGTTTCCTTCTTTGAAGATCTTTAAAACCCGCTTGAGTTTTAAAAATGCAGCCCTGTGCCATGTGCTCTAGGTGACCCTGCGTGAGCAGGGGGATTGGACTAGATGACCTCTGAGGTCCCTTCCAACCTTAAGCATTCTATGATTCTATGATTAACATTTGGTTAGCAGAATATACAAGTCTGTTTATATGAAGTGAAAATCTTAAGATACTGCTCTAAAAGAAATTGTTTAATACTTGGTTTTAAATCACAGGAGGTGCAAACTATGAGATGAATAAAGAGAATATTGAGAAAACGAGTGGATATCAACAAAATTTTGTATTTACTCTGTATGCTAATATTACCCTTCATTCAAGTGGTTACTGTCTTTAGTCCTTTCCACTGTAGTTCTTCATGCTTCTGAACTTCCTTATCCCTATGAATTTAGCTGTTCTCCTGCAATTGGGAACCCATTTGAATCCTCTGAAAGCAAACTGTCCGTGATAATCATACGGACTCTCATTCTGGGTGATTGGATTATTGGGGACAATAAAATGCTTGAGATACCTGCCACTTACCACAACTCTGCTTATATTGCTGCAAGAGCATTCCTCTTAAGTTTTTTGCTAGAAGATCATTCCAGCAGAAAAATGTTAATTTCTCTCATTAATATGGAACTATAAAGTGTTGAACAGTTCTTGGATATAACATTGAAAAGCATTCCTAGGAAGTTGAAGGACATCTTACTATTACTGTGCAGCTCTCACAGTGCTAATCAAAATGAAACAAACAATTTAAATTTAAAAACTATGCCAAAAAGCATAGAGAGAACTGAAAAGGCAGGCAGAGAGGATATGATGAATTACTGTGCTTAGAAAAAAAAAATCCATCCTGGTGTGATCTGAGATGAGTTAAAGTCAAAGCAAAAGCCCTTGTTACATATGTACGTGCTAGATATTAGATTCTCAAAATTTTGGAGGTATTTTGGAAGAGAATATAGTGAAAATATCAGTTCAGGGTTTTCTTTTTAATATTTTATATGAAGGTACTGCAAAATAATTGGAAATTCCATTTTTGTTCTCAAAATAGCTTGAGTTTTCTTCTTAATAGTTAAGATAACTATTATATGAAAGGAGTCGATGAGCAAGGACCATGATTTAATGATAGGAGGATACTAGTTAATTGTATCTGAGATAATGGGTTTTATACAAGACCAGGGTATTTCGTACCGTGAAATGTGGCATTATTAATAGAAATRATAGCGCATATTAGATATGTTTTAAGAATACACTTAGACTCAATGAATGTATTGTAAGGGTTATGAAAAAGCATTCTAATGCAGTCCAGCAATTGAATCACACTGTTTTTTATGAGGCACTTCTAGTTTAGAGAATATTTTGGATAAAAACTTTTTTTATCCCCTGTAAAAGATAATATAAAATGTAATATAACAAAATAAAGAACTTGGTATAAATGTGGGATTGTATTTTAAACCATTTTAAATTTTAATTTGAACCATATGTTTTTCCTATAGACTGTTTTATATATCATGTGTTTTTAATTTCACAACCATTCTTTGATTTGTTGCTTTCATTACTACTTGATTTTAGCAGCTTCATGTATGAGTGATGACCTCCACTATACTGTATTTTGTGAAAGTTTTTATTTTCTAATGTGCAATTAAATGTGACAAAGGTAAGTCATTTAAATATTCTTAGAACTAGAGAAGCAAAAAAAAAATTCTCTATTTTTGGATGGTGAGTGTAGCAGGCACGTTTTAAATAATTTCTTCTAATTGTTATTAATGCAAGAATTGAAATGGAACTAAGTTTCTGTGGTTCTTTTGTTCATGGATCATTGAGTGTGTTTGTGTGCGAAATCTGCGTGAGTCCAGTGATCGTGAATGTGAAGGCTGTGTCCTTTCTGCATACTTGTGTTATACTGAAATAGATGTTTTACACAACAGTGCAAATTTAATTGTGCAGTAACACACAMAAAAAAAAATACTGCTCAGGAAATTTAATGTCCACTGAATAGGTCAAAAGAATTCTTCTTTCTTCTTTAAATGTCAGCCTGCTTATTAAGGGAGGTAATAGGAATACTTTAATGCAAGCACGGAGAACCTTTTTCCCCCCCCCTTTGTGTTTGTGTTAAGACTAGTCAGAGATGGGTTGTTCTATGCAATCTTCACCTATAGGATTGTCAACTTAAAGCACCTTTCTTCGTATCCGTGACTTGAAGTTATATCTGAAAAGGGATTATTCCCATTACTAATACACAATTAAGATTCGTTCTGACATCTGTCGGTTCCCAAGAGCTCTTGCATAGAATAATTTTGAGCTCATTTGATTTAATTTATTTTTTATGAGCTTCTTTCTCTTTAGTTTTCTATCTTCCTAAAGGTAAAATGTGGGAGATCCTGACCTGCTTGTAGAGGCAAGGCAAGTATGCTTGGAAAGGTAGGACATAAAACGTAGCTTTGAATGTAGCTTCTATAAATCTGGGTTCTGCTGCTTGTGTAGACAAGCAAACAAAAGTTCATCAGCATTCTCTAAATAATCAGCAATCAACTTCCAGCATCATTATGAAAAAGCTCATAAAAGGCACTTAGGAAAACCCTAGCTATGCCATATTACCGTCTGCCATAGCTTCATGAGCTTCTGATTGCTGTGAACTGTTAGAGCAGCCTTTAATGCTCTTCTAGTTCACTTCTGTCAAAGACTTTTTATGTTGCAATTCGCTGTGTGGATCCAATGTGATGATGAAACACAGAAATCTCTCACCCATATGCTCTTCGTCTACAGAAGGCTTGTAGTCATCTTATTTGGGACAATTTGGTCTCGTCACACTGTTCCTTACTCTTGATTAGAGGTTCTTACATCTCTTTAGGGAGCCACATTTTCCTTTAAATGTTATTCTAGAGGAACTTTGGAACTTTGTTATCAAGTTGCCTCAGAACCCCTAACAGTGTGCAGTGTGGGATTCTGATTTTTTTTTTTTGTTTGTTTGTTTTTGTTTCTCTGTAATCCTGAAGCTTTTTATAAAAATAGTGGTAAATACACTATATATTTTTATAAAAGAAAGGAAGAGCCGTGCACCTAGGTAAAGGAAAAGATATCAGGCGTTTTGCAGAACTTCTTGTGGCTTTGACTGTAACAGAGGAGTTTTTAAATTTTTGGAAACTTTCTATGTTCTTTGCAGCCTTTTTTCAAAGGATATGAAGAGATCAAGGTTGAGTTCAGGTGTGTGTTATATGACAGTACTGTTTAAAATTGTTACTGCACCTACCACTGTTTTAATAATTTAGGATCTGTGATTATTGTTTAACCAAACAAGTTAGTTTTACCTTCTGAAATTATAAGACATTTGAGTTTCTTTAAAGATGTACAGGTTTCAGAATGCACTAGCTGTGCTCTCTGTCTGAACTATGCCATTTCATTGCAGATGAAAAATATACCTCAACACTTCTTTCAGTACAACTGAAAAATCTGTTCTCACTGACCTTTCTGGAAGGCAAAGATAGTTCAAGTGGTAATCTGAAGATGGGAAAAGGATCTAAAATATCCTATTTTTCAAACTAAATGGCATCTGCTTGTGTCAGAATTGTACATTGAGAACCTATTTTACAGACACAAGTGAGCCTTCCCACTAAATTAACTGTAGTTTGTTGTGTCTGAGTACTGACATGTGACAAAACTGTTAAATAAAACAGGTAGCTTTTGTGTGTCTGCTGGTTTATAGAAAAGGGGCTCATGTTTGAGACCAACACATTCCTTGCCTCAACTTAGGTTTTGTTTCAGGAAGTCTATTTCATATGCATTGAATATTACATAAATAGATTTGTCTCTTTCCAGTTATCCTGTGATTTCAGTCTTCAAGTAATGGGAAAGTGTTTTTGAAAAATTGTCTTTTCAGCTGAATTTTATCTGTACTTCTTTGAGTACCTTATGTGATGTGTATTTTCTAACTGTGTTCTTTCTGTTACGTGTGCTGGAAAGGGTTGCAGGGAGAGAAAATAAATTCACTCCAATAGTGGACAGTGTTCTCTTGCTTTTAACTACTGAGAAGGATTAAGGGAGCTATGGTGCTACCAGATCATAAGGCAAAATGACCCCATGGAGTATCAGAACAAAAACTTGCAGGAGATTCTGAATCACTCAGATTAATAACAAACTGAGTCAAAATGGGAATTTCTACGTGATTGGGAAAAACAAGGCAGAACTGCCTGGATAAGTCCAAGTACTTCGTAAACTGAGGAAAAATACCCATTTTTGAGTAATTCTGACATAGTTCAGGATGAAAGCACATTCTGAAACAGGAGGACACTTTCTTGGGTAGCAATTCCAGCCTAGAAGCAGGAGAGCTGGTCCTGATTCTGTGGGCAAGATTACTGTTGAAGTCAGTGGAAAGTTTTAATAACTACTCTCAGTCCTTCTTGGGGAAAGCAGTTTCTTCTTTCTTGTACTTTATCACCATGCACATTTTAAATGCACACCAAGTACCATGTGACAAAAATTACAAATGAGTTTCCACATATTTGTAACCATGTTATTACAGTAATGCTCTTTTGTCTCATTAATTGGGTTTTAATCAGTGTAACTGAGAATTTGCCAGAAATAAAAATGATATGTTGTATTTTATGCTAACTGTATTTTGTTTGTTTTAATAGTGATTCCAGAGTTTATTAGTCAAGTAAATATTGCATTGGAGAGCTTCAGCACGAACAAAATGCATATGTTTGATGATAATCAGTTTGTGGATATATCTAAGAAGATCTATGATACGATTCATAATATCAGATGCTCAGTCATGGTGATACGGGTAAGTTTTTTATTTGTTCGTCTTATACTCACTTATAAAACAGGGCATTTTTCAGGAGAGTATAGAACTCTTTATGTCATGTATGCCCCAAATCTCCTATTCCAATTGAATTGATCTGGACATTTTGGGTAATTTGGGATGCGTGTGATAATAGGAAGGCTGGAAAACTGTTCTGTACAGAAGAAGAGTACCATATGAGAAGATTTTAGGAAGATGTGTTTTGTTCTTTAAAAACATTTATGTATGTCACATTAATAAAGATCTTGATTTATTTCATAAATGATTGACTACAAAGCCACCTGTAATTGTACTAAAACGCCTGGAATTTTGAGATCCTGGAGTACTTGAAGTACTTACGGCTTTGCCCTTAACCTTGATCAGTGAAAGGTGAGATAAAGAGATATTCAGGTGATTCTGTTAAACTCATGTTGAAGTTTTGTCAGTTCCAAACTAGAACACTTAACTTGATTTCAGTCAGTAAAATGATGGTTTATCCTAATGCTTATCTGGTAGTTCATTTAAAAAAAACTTGAGAAGCATATTTTCAAATTTTGAAAGACAGTTTTGTCAGATATTGTGTTTGCCTGTGGGTAATAGAAACTGAAATAGATTCTTCTTTCTTTTAACTAAGAATATACTATAGAGTATTATGGAAAATCTGGATGAATCTTCTCAAAATACACTGATGTGTAAGTTAAACAACTTGAGAGGGAATTCAGATGTGCAGTAACTTTCAAATGTACAGTCCTCGTCAGTTATGAAATTTTATAATAGAGAGAAAACCTGTAACACTTACATGGTACACTGTGCTTTCACCTTTCCTAGAAGAAAAGTTAGTTTTTCTTAAATGGTTCTGTTTTAGAGTGATTGTCCATACGTAGTTTTGTATGGTGGACATCAAAATGACAATATGTGGAGAGTTCACTAAAGTCTGATCTGCTCGTCTTTTTTTTTTTTTTTTTTTGACACTTAGATATGTATTACACCTAAGGTTCCACTAATATCATCCAGCTTCATTACAGTTGCCAAAAATAGCTAAAACATTATTTTGTTGATTTATGATCCTGCAGCATTTTTTCCTTTCTCATTGATTTAGGAGTTTGTCTAATGCTTTTTGAATTACATTTAACTTCTACCATATGTGTTTAAGGATCCTTCCTACGTTTCCCGGCTTTCTTTCTGTTTGTTCATTTACATTTGACTAGTTTTCCTTTGTTAGTGCCTTTTTCAAATGTTTCTTTTCTTGCCATCCAGTCTTGGTCAGATTCCGTTTAYAGGTCCCACAAAATGTGATGTACATACAGGCTGAATGAATGCAGTATCTGCATTTGCTGCTCCTTTTAAATTGTGTACATGTTTAAAGGAGTCCAGGTTGGAGACATCTCTATTCAAAAAAAGCCTTTTATTAACAGTCATGAAGGAGGTGAATTCTCTGCAAAGCAGGAAACTATAACACTTCGTTTTCATACATGTTAGGAAAAGCAATTTTCAAGCAGATACTTTACAGGATAAAAAAGGAAAGGTCAGTATTTGGCAGGAAATGATGCTTATGTGATGAGACCTACCACTGCTATGTATTGCATTAATAGAGGAGGTTTGAAGGCTATACCCTTYTCTGTAAGGGAGTAGTTAGAGGAAAAGGAAATGAGAGCAAATTCATTAGGCTACAGTTTGTGTCCTTCAGAGTTCTCATTCTTAATTGCTCCATATGGTTAGACTGTGAATGCAGGTATTTTTTGATGGCTTCAGCATTACCTGCCAGGAATGGGAGTAATTCTTAGATGAAACCCAAGAAGAATGTCAGGCCTTTTGTTTGTAGGCTGGACAGCCTGCTGATGACTGGCTCCATAGATAGGAGGACATTTTCCTTTCCTCCACTTAATTCCAAGAGTCTATTCCTGGAAAATCAAGTGCCAACTCAGGAAAGTAGTTTTAATATGAGAATCGTTGTCATTTAGAAGCTTCTGCACTCTGCCTTTCTTACTCRCTAAAGCAAAACTGGGCTTCTGCAGGTCTCAAGCTGCCCTCCTTCACAGGGTTGTAACAGTTGCTTTTGTTCCTCAGCTTCACAGAAGATCCTTATCCATAGGAGAGGTTCACATGAGCTGGATTTATCTGGCAAAACACATTGTATTGAGGCTGATTCTGACCTGTTTCTGCTTCAGCATGCATTGACTCTAAGGGTCTTAGTTAGGACATCTGACCTTTCCCTACATCGAGCAAGCTTCCGTTAATGCATTGTTCATCATGCCTTCCCTTAGAGAGTGACTCATTTTTTTTTGTAAAGAATGTTACAAAGTTGTTCTTGTCTATTGCTCAGTGAGATCTGAATCTTCTGTGTATCCAACACTCTTGAGCTTGAACTCCAGGTGATCTGATCATGTCTGAACCTTCACTTTTTCAATCAAAATTCCCTTTTTCTTTTGGTAAATACTTTGGGAAATGTACTGAGGAATATAGCAAAGCTTTAGTCGCTCTCTGTGAAGATGTCAACACTTCTCTGCAGGAAACTGAGTGTGTATTTTTACAGTCCTCTGTGATGTGTATTTGTGTATGGATAGTTAACTCGAAAGAAAAAGGAAAAAAGAGGTTCCATCCCCTGTATTTCTGAAGTGGGAAGATACTGTGATCTGAAGAGACTGTATGAACACATACTGCAATGKAAGTGCACTGGGTAAATGCATAGTATATCTATACCCGAGCTGGTAAGGCATTGAASAACACTTGAATGGTCAATGTTAATATGAACATTCCTGTCTGTGGCATCTTCTACTTTGCCAGTGCAGCCTGACAAGGCAGAGGAAAAATGCATTATCAGACGTTACCTTGTGGCTGTACTCGAAGCTGAGGGCAGCAAAGAGCAGACTCATCCCCTTCTGACAAGGGGRGAAGGTAGGACCAGTTAGATACCAGCCTGATTCCACCTACTCCAGAATCCCTATTATCCTGAGCAGTGTATGCATTTGCAGTAGGAATTAACCTGGCTTGAGGTACTTTCACCTGTATTTGACTGTACATTAGCAGTGCAATTACAAAGTCCTTGTAATAGACCAAGAGATCAAAAAAAGTTTGTTTTTTTTAAGAAGGGCATTGTGCAACTTCCTACTTAATGAACACCATTATTCAGAGACTGACATGAGAGGATTTTTTGATGTTGGGTGAAATGATAGCAAGCTACTCCATCATTCTGTGTAGGTACTGGCTGCTGGAGATACTCCACTACAGAGAGCCAGCTGAGTAAACCCTGGCATTCGTTTGTTGAACAAGAATGTTCTTGCATTCCTAATAAGATACATTCCATACAATGTCAGTTTGATTTCAGTTTGCTTGTAAGAAGCTTAATAAATCTTATGGTTGTTCAGACATATGGAGTCACCACAGCAGCTCAGGAAGGAAATAAAATCAATCTATAGATCATTGTGGGAGCTCTCATGCATAGTGCCAAAGAACAATATGCTTCTGATTGCAGGGGAGTTTCAAGACTGAATCAAGGAAAGAAATCGTTGATAATTGAGAAATGCAAAATGAACAAGGACACTGATTCACATGGGAGGATTTTCCCACAAGAAAATAAAAGCAGAAGCTCTCCAGATCAGTTCCTCTGGAAGCATTACAAGCATATAATTAGACAGAGAATGTTTTTACGAATAGAGATATTAGYTGTAAAATGCTGCCAAATAGTGTTATTAATGCAAATTATAAGAAGTGCATTCGAAAGCTAAATTTTTCTGTAGACATGTAAAACATTCATTCCAGTTTTACAGGTATAGTGTAAATAATACTTTATAGGGAAACTAATTACTGGTTGGTGTAGTGCATTGAAGTGTTGTAGTGGAAAGGAAATGCCCCTGGAGCTGAAGGATGCTTCCCTTAAGATGCTTTCCGTTGTTGTACTTGCAAGGATTCTTTCATCTAGTGGTAGCTGTTCATTTGAAGTCAGCAGATATCTGATATGGAGGACATAGCTGCACATGTTTCCTAGAGTTCGCATTCCCAATTCCTTCGTCTGACTCTTCAAAAATCTGATTTTAGTTAAAATTTAGGATCTTTCACAGCTAGATTTTGCACAAGAGGATTTGGGGCATTATTTGGATAATAATTACTGCTCTTATAGATGGGAGTAGATTTTGGAATTTAAGACAAGAATTTTGTGATGTGGAGTATATAAAAAAGTCAAAACAGACTGACATTTTTTGAAACATTAATAATTAAAGTCAGCGTAATGTTAAGATGTATCCTTGAACTTTTTAAAAATGATAATTCCATGTGAAAGTGTAGTTTGCAGAAGAGCAAGATGACTCGGTTCAGGTGACACCTAACAATATTCCATTAGGATATTAAACACAACGGAGAGTGCTAATGACTTCAAATGGCTAATAACTACCAATAGTTGAAGCTGTAATAAAGTCATCCCAACAGAAACAAGAAGAAAAGAGGAAAAGAATTCAAGGCTAGGTTTCCTGGAGTGGAGGAGTAAACAGGTGAGCTGTTTAGAGTTTTCGGAAGAGGGAACAATGCTTCATGTTGTATTCAAACTGGTTTTAGTAATCCTATCTTCRTGCAACCAGTGAATGAGGAACCTGCATTCCCTAACTTTGTGAAAGGTGGAAAAAAATGTTTCCCAGCATTCTGTTATTGTATGATATGTTATTTCCCTTGTTTTGATGCTTGTTTTTTTAAATGGAATATGTATTCCGTATGTTGCTTATTTTCAGAATTCGTATGYGGGGACTGGCCATTTCCTCTTGAGTCTACTGTGTTAGGCTCTTTGAATATTTATTGCTTTTGGCAGTTATGCCTTTCTTTCTTTTTTCTTTTCCCTCTCCTATCAAGAGGGTTTATTTGTGCTGCATTCTGCACCATACAACTGAAGCAAAGCATTCTTTTTTTTTTTTTTTTTTTAAATCATACCTAAACCTTGTTATCCTCCTGTTTCTCTTTCAGCTGTTAATAAGTTTCTATTTTAAATTGTACCTTTCTTTTTATTAATAACAGTTTCC